AAGGAGTCAACACGTGAAATTTTTGTACATGACTAATTATATTGTTTTTGATATCAAAATTGTTAAACTGTAATTACTAAATAAAATTTAGTGAAACATGTTTTTGAGGTATGGTAATGATAAGGTAAAATAAAAATCACTGTTCGCGAAAGTAAAATTGAGAAACGTAAAATTTGCAAAATTAAGAAGTGATGGAAAAAGTAAAAATATATATATGTAACAGGGTGGCATCACTGTTATCATGACAGTTGCTGTCTGTCACAGAAGAGAAACGGAGCAGTTGTCGACAGTGGCTTGAAGGAGTCAGTCGTGTGCGGTCGGTTGTGGTAGTAAACGTATTATATTGATAGTGAACATATTATCATTTCTTGAATTTTGTAACATTGTACATTTTTTGCATTTCATAACATTTTATAACTTTTTTTTGCATAATAATTGCACTAATAGATAACACTTCTTACATATATAATTACCGATTTTTTTATTAGTTAAAGCTTATTTAATATTTTTTGCATTCTGTAAATAGAAAAAAAAACGTACACGTAAGGCGCCTTACAAAAGGTAGGCGGACTTACGGTATCAAAGTCTTTAAAATTTTATAAAAGATAATCGTCCCATAAAAAAACCAACCGCGCAGGCGTATTATCGGCGTTTTTTAAATGAAAGCGGTGTTGAAAGTGAGTGGAGTGTCATACGTTCTAAAGTAAAAACATATGCGTCAGACATATAATAAAATCAAAAATATGCAAGATTGGACTGGTGCTGGCGCAATGAATAACAGGGAAACAATAAAAGGCATTTAAGCATTCACTTTTCGCTTTGAAAAAAATAAACATTTTTACTACATTCTATTTCAGATGTGAAAAAATGCCCTATGTATTTTGAATATGAGGAAGTGTTTGGACACAGAGAGAATACGTGGATCACAGTCCTACTTGATACAGATTCGTTTATCGCTCATGATACAAACAATTTAGAAGATGTGCAAGTGCAACAAACCCCTGAAGTAAGTGACAAGGAGAATCAAGAAAATCAGCTGAACGTTTCTGGCTACAATGAAACGCCTTCGTACCGTGGGCAGAAAGGCATTTACTTAAGCACAGGGTTAAGTGACGGTTTAAAATGAAAAGGAGTGTGATGCCATAAGAAAGGAGTGTAAAGAAAGAGAGTTAAAAATAAAGGAGGTTGAACTGGAGCTACAAAGGGAGAGATTTCTTTTCGAAAAAGAAAAACATGCAGAGGAACTAAAACATAAAGACATACAGCTCGAAATGGAACGTAAACTTAAAATTATGGACATTAAAATGAAAAGAGAAATAGCATTAAAAGAAGTTGAAATGAAGGAAAGAATAGAAATGAAAAAAATAAAAAAGAGAGAATAACTGTCTAAATATTTTAATATTTCATATATATTTGATAGTTAATAAAATCAAGTTAAAAAATTTTTTATAACAACTACAAATTTGAAATATAATTCGCCAAAGTGGTACGAATTTCAATAGTTGAGAGAAAAATTTCAGGTGGGTATACCGGTCCTTGGTCACTTCTAATCTCTACAGGATCATTAAAGTCAATTAAAATGTTGTGTAGTATAAAACACGCCAAGACCCATTCACAACATTCTACATCATTGTCCTCATTGATCAATGGCAAACGCAGTTCTTTCAAACTGCAATATGTTTCCTTGACTTTTGCAAAACAATTTTCAATGCGCAATCGGTATTTAGAAAAATGTGCATTAAAGTTTTCACGTATTTCAAGTTTTAGCTCAGTGATGTTTTTTCGGAATGGTGTTATGAATCTCTTGGACAACGCGTAAGCTACTCAGCTTAGTTTCCAGCTAGAAACTGATTCTCGTCAAAAAAATTATCGGGAGTTCGACCAATTGATGACTATGCAAAAATTTTTGCATCATGTACGCTGCCGTAGTGCCCAATGGTTGCATATTTAATAAAAGGGCGATAATCACAAACCAATTGTACTTTTATTAAGCTCTGCCTAGTTCGAGACCAAAAGAATGTTTTGTTACTCGCTGCAGGTTTGTCAGCCAATCGAATTTCAGTGCTATCAATGTAGCCAACACAACCTGGTAATTCGTACATAGTTAACGCAAAAATTTTTTCCGCTCGTCAGATTGAGGCCAATAAAGAAATCTTGTCTTCAAATTTAAAATTTCTCGAACGACCCTTTTTGTGACTTTTTTAATAGTTCCATCATATCCTATACCAAATAGCGTCGCTACTTTTTGAAATGATGCGCTATCCCCACTTGAACCGAAACAAATCACTGCTACTTTAAGTTGCAAATCTACTGGCATTTGAGGAACAAAGCTTTTGCTTTTAAAAACAGAGTCATCTTTAATTAAAGAAAAGATATGATTAAATTCATTTTGGCTGACACGCAGAATTTGACGCATTCGATGGTCGCCAAAATTAAAGAGTACGCGCGCAGTTCATTTAGTTGATTTTGGAACATTTAAATGCAAGCTTCTACGATTTTGAAAGATTGAATCAGCACTCATAGTAAACTCCATTATAACATTTTCCATGGTTAATGGATTTTCATCTCACACACATTCTAAATTGGATTTGCTTTGTGGCGACATTACACAAGAATGGTATATAAAGTGTAAAAATGACTAAACTCAGTGGCAGCACTACAAAAACATCAGTATGCATTAGACATTTGTAAAATCAACACATATAATAGACGCTCGATTTAGTTTGCTTTTTGCGGAAAAATATAAAATTATTTGTACATTAAAAATCCTTTTGATGCTTAATTTGTTTATCTCTTTTTTGGTTCGATTCTTTCAACCGTTTGTTGTAAGTGCAATACAATATAGTGAATAAGAAACAATTTATGTAAATAGCATTTACACTAAAGATTTGATTTTAAATAAGTTTTATTTTGCTACAGATTCAGGGTATTTTTAAAAGGGGGATTACATACTATAGAAATCCATCCAAAGTTAACTTTTGTGTAAGTGAAGTATTTAAAAATGCAATATGGAATATTGCACCAGAAATAGTTTAACAGCTGTTGTCTGAAGACTTTGTTTAGGCCAATCTTACGAAGAGGGGTTTAAACAAATGTAAAGGTAACAATGTCTGTACCCAAAACATAAAATTGATACAACTATATATTATGTCAGCAAACAAAATGACGAAAAGTCTTAAAACTGTCATTTGTTTCAACTTCCTATTTTGATGGTTTCTTGAAGGCAACTACATAAATTAACTGAAAATCTGCATTTTGTTTTGTGTAAAGATATCGTATAGAACAACAATAGAAACAACAACAAAAATAAATTTCTTGTGATTTCGACACTAACATTTCGTGATTTCGGTAACAATTAAAGAAATTTACTGACTAAAAAATTACAGGTCGCGGAAGAAACTTAAAATTTATTGTGGCCCATGTTATAATACATGTCACCCAATCTTGGTGTAGAACAATAGTGTCCTTTATTCTTCAGGAATATTTTTTTTCACTAAATATATAATACATGAATCCAAGATATATTCAGTTTCATCAACTCCAGTAAACCGATATTGGTGTTCAATAGAGACACATAAGATAATTTCAGTTTTCTTTTAAAAAAATAATGCATTCTGGTATGTGTCAGAATGAACTACAGCTATACAAAGTTGAAGTTAGTAGTTGTTTAGTTTTCTGTTTAACAGTTCGCTATACGTGTAGCTTGATCACTTAAATTTCGGAAATCAATAATAAAAACAAAAAATCACTAATAAAAACTCAAACATAATGAAAATGTTTGTAAATCTAACGAGCATTTGCCTCCAAAAATATGAAAGAAAAAAAACTATAGTTAGAAATATTATATCATGAAAAGGATTAAAATAAAATATTTTTTCAACATACTTTTTTAAAAAACTCTACTTTAGGTAGAGTTTCATCAAATCATTTCAAACCGAAAAAACTCCATACTACTGTCTAATAATGATTAAATTGTTGGACAATCAAATTTTCAAATGCGAGTTATCTTGTAGACATATTTAATCCTTCAGTGTTAATATACTACATCAGTGAAAACATAAATAACTGGTCTCCGGGAACGCAACAAAAATTTACGGTTGACTTATAAGAATATAAAATGTATTAATTAATAAATACACCTAAAATTTCTAATCATTAGAGGTTTCATCAAAATTTATAAATACATTTGTTTGCAAAAAGGATTAAGTTAAATTAGGTGCCCTTGCCAGAATCCTGTTAAACTGCCGTCACAGTCAACGTATTAAAAAATTAATTTTTTTGTGAATGTACTTTGTTAACAATTTTTTGAATATGATAAATATATACGATCAATATTATATTTGAATATACTATCAAATGGTATAATTTTAATGACAAAGTGTTCTCAAAGCAATAAAGAACTAGGATATAAAAATGTATATTCATACTAAATTCAATTATTTTATCCCATATATATTAATATATATTAACACAATTAAGCCAAATATACCTATATATAATTTTCTAATCAACCAAAAAATTGGAATCTGCAATTAAGTTAAATATATAATAAATAATTGAAATAATAAATTAAAAATATAATATATGAAGGACTAATTCATAATTTTTTTTTGTAAAATATTCCTCTTCAAACTAAGATTATTTTTTTTTTGCTTATTTTGTGTTTCGTTCCTGTATTTTTATACAATTTTAATTTTTTCTTTTAATTTGGAAAAGATTTTGTAATACACAAATCAAAGAAACTTAATCTAATGTAATTAAATATTATCATTAAAAATAAATGTAACAGTTTCTAAAAACTTTAGACTGGCTGTAAGCATTAAAATTTGTATAGAATCTAATCCAATTTCTTTAAACAATCTTAATTAAAAACTAAAAGTTTTTATTCTATTAAGTTTCTTTGATTTTATATATTTTAAAATAGTTTATATGCATTTAAAAATTTGAACATTTCAACCTATTTAATATATTATATAAAAAATAAATAAATAAAAGTAAAATAAAACTTGCACTTAGCTTTGATGACTTGCTTAAGTTTTTGTTTTTTGAAGATCATGTTGTTGTTGCATTCAATCATTTTTTTATGCTGAGTTTAATAATTATTCCAATAAACTAATGTGTGTTATCTCTTGCTTGGTGAGTAGATAACAATATTTTTTAAACAGGAATACATATAAACATTCTTTAAGACTGGGATGTTTAAATATTACGGCAGATGAGACTTATGGAGAAATCTGTTGATGAAAGAAATATATTAATATTTCTAATTTAAATTATTACAAAAAAATTTTAAAAATATTTAATTTATACTTACAAATTGGTAGTACTAAATTCAGTATTTGTTTTTTGATCAAATGTCCTGACATCGAAAATTGCCATACTCTTTCCACAAATACTTTATTTGTGTTTTTGGGGAATTCCTGGGTTATTGTAACTGCAGAGAAGTTATTTTTAATTCATTTTCTTTATAATCAACTGAAAAATATTAGAAAATTAATGAAATTATTATATGAGATTTGAATTTTCGTAAACTTAAACTAAACTAAAAATCGCCGTTACTTCAGTACGTTACTTAATGATAAAACCGTAAACCTACCTCACATCATATTTGCATTCAATAGAAAATCTGAATTATTTATCCAGTGGAGATCCACGATAACAAATGGCGATATTACGAAATGTGTTTATATTCATTGAAGTCTTTAAATAATAATCATTTGATTAATCAAATACTCTTAATAAAGAAGGATTCCTATTTTAACTTTAATATGTTACGTTTGTATTTTTGTTTCTAGAAAAAGCTATAGTTAGTAACCGATTTTTGGTCGCTACTTAGAAGGAGAAAAGCGACACTTTATAGCACAGAGAGGTGCATTATCTTAAAACCAGTTGCATACTTGCTGTAAAGAAAACACACGTACACGTTAGCTAGTGTGCACTCCATAATATGATTTAATGCATCTCACAGCCGTTTATCCTCCACGCAGCAAACACAAGCTATATGTTTAATGTGTAGTTTATATAAAAAGGTTAAATCTGTTCGTTATTTTTGCAATAAAATTACATACAAATGTGTTGTTGCTTATCATTTTCGTTACATATCTATCTAAAGTTTATAATGTTATTTTGGATGTCTACATTATAATAAATTTATTTTGTTAATAAAATTGAAAAAATTATCTTGCTTTTTATTGAACAGAAAATTTATAAAATGTAAAATTTATAAAATATATTACAAATATAAATGCCTATTCTTATATCCTCAAATAAATACATTTTTCTCAAAAACTTTATTCTGACTTAAAAATTAATAATTATAAAAAATATACAAAAATAATTTATAAAATCTGTTAAGAAACAAATTGGAAGTGCTTAACATTTCAAGGACATCTCAGTTAGTCAAAGACATACCTTGTGCATACAAAAATCTAATTTTTACTTATAAGAATAACATATGCAATTCACATTTACTCACATTTTTATTCTTCAGTGCTGAAACGGTGACTGCAACAATTGGAAGGAAACATTAATAAAATTCAAAATCGCATTCCATCATTGAAATTTCAATGCCTTTGACTTAAGACAAACTATTTTGATTATTGTCCCCATTTTTATTGCGTGCTTTATACTTATGCATTTGAGGTCCAACGGAGTCATTATTTATTGGCAATAATAAATATATTTTTAATGTGAAACACTAATGTCAAATATTTTAAGAATCTATAAAGTAAAAACATTTTTGTATATAAAAGATCAGAAAAATGATAATTGATTTGGCTTACCATACAAAAACACGTTTTTAATTCTGTTTTCTAATTTCCAAACTTGAAGTAGCGTAGTTTAGTGAGACACTGTTTTGTTTCTATTTGTCCAAATTATTTTATAGCTGAACATTTTATGCAAACTTTGTGTCCTAATCGACAGAAGTCCCGTTACAGCATTTGTCAAGTCATTTTTTGTATTTGATTAATTGCGTCAAGACAATTTTCATTAAATTCATTATAATGAAAATTAAAATTTAATTTCACATCAATAAATTATTATCACTAAAATTTATACAAAATTGTTCAAATAATGACCGGCACATTCATTGCAATTTAGTGATACTCTTTGTATGCAACAGCACTCAAAAAAAGAAATCGCTGTCAAAATACTTATTTAGGGTTGCCAGAGCTATCAATTTAAATAAGCAAAATGTGTAATGTCTTTTACGATATTACTCACAACATTTCGAACAACTCTAATTTTAATGTTTAAGTACGAATATACATAATTTGTTAGAGTTTGGATATGTGAAATATAGTAGAATTTTACTTGAAAATTTACGGAATAAATTTAGTATAAATATATAAAACAAGTAAAATATAATATAATATAATGGTCAGACACCAAAATTTTCTTAATTTCGTGAAATTAATATTAAGTTAATTTCGAAAGTGTTCATACTACCCCAAATTATGTAGAGGCGGTCTTTTTAATCTGAACGGTAGAGAGTTTAATACATCTGATCGTTATTGTTTTATATGTAATCGTCATGAAATAGAAAATATATGTCATATTATTGGTGTATGTCCAATTTTCAGAGAACATAGGCATAGTTTTTTTGATAAAGCACATCTGTCTGAAGAAGAAGTGAAAATCTTATTAAACGGTAGCAATATTTATAGACTGTATAATTTTATGAAAAGTGTTTTGAGTTACAGAAAATTAATTATTGAAGAATTTATATAAATAATAATGTTAATATTATGCACCTTCTTTTGTATGCCAATCTGACACACAACAAATATGTTATGGTCAATTTAGATTTTATGTAAAATTCTATAATTTTTGTAAGTGCTGTATGAATTTTTTTTTGAATCAATAAATAATAATAATAATAATAATATACTACCCCAAAGTAAGGAAATCATATGTTTTTTGACCACAAATTGAATATCAAGAATTACATGCTCAAAACACCATTTGTGTCTGGGAAATTTTAAGAATTGATTATTATATCTATACAGAAGAACATCCAGTATTTTTATTAGCTTTAGTGGATTAATGGATGTAATTGGATTATTGTTTTTCACTCTATTTTAATTTAATAATAGTTACAGTTTTTTCTCTATGTGTAAATTTTAAAATTTCCAGATTTTATTAGCTTCAATTGTCACTGATATTTATTTTAAAAAAATGTTACTTTTTCCTTATCTCAACTTATCTTTTGCTATAAATTTATCTTACGCATAGTTGCATTCGAAATGTCCCTTAATTTCAGTCTTGGTTTCAACGAAATTAAGGCAATTTTTCTTAATTTTGTTCTAACCTTAAAACTGAATTTTGTATGGAAAAATAAACTTAATTGGGCTGAATCGAAGATGATATTAAGATTTTAACAAAATTAAGGTGTGTCTGAGCATAGTAAAATGCAGTTGACACTTCTTTTTAATATGACAGAGAATATTAGATATTTAAAGTCTCTTCCTTCTCGTAGTAAAACTTGATTAAAACACAAGAGCGCAACACAGAGATTACGAATTTTCTTGGAACAGCTTTGTGTAAAGTCTGGTAAATAGTTTGTTTTGAAAAACAAAACAATACTTAGAAATAGAAATTTAAAAGTAGGAGCGCAAAATACATTTTGAAAAACAAAGAAAGTTTTATAATATTAAGTGCAAATATTTTTAAATACTTTTTATTTTTATAAAGTGAGTAAGAATTTTATAACTAAAGATTTAAAAAGGTTCCGCGAGATGCGGATATAATAATAATAATATATAATAATAAATTCACCAATTCTAAATCATCATCGAAGTCACTATCTCGAAGTATATTGATTACTTTATATAATGACTATGTTGTATTACTTAGTTCACTTAACAAAATATATATCATGTTTTTTTGATGTATTTTACTATTAGTTTATTAATTTTTAAAATTAATAAAATTAAAATTTCAGAATTTTTTTACACTTACCAGTGCCACGCAATTGATTCACACATCGATACAAATTTTACTTGAAAGAAAATGTTTTAGTAAAGTCTGTATAGCATTTTAAAATTTAGACAGTGATGTTACGTTATCTTAGATGCTCTCTTTTACTCAGAAATTTACTGGTGGAGCACACAGAGTACTCAAATCTTCTACGAGTAGGTCGTATAATAAAAATCAAAATGCACACGAAAACCTTTAAAGACAATAAAACAAGCTTTCAATTACAAAAAAAATCAGAAGGATCACATTTGTCTTTGACACAGGAAATGCAATCAAATATGAAAATTATGGTGTGCATTTTGATCTTTATTACAGTTGTTTTAAATTAATATTTTTCGTAAGAAAGTCACTTTTGCTATGCAATTTCTAATTTTTAACACCATATCTTATTTGGTTTTGAAATATAGATGGCAGTTTGCCTTCTGCTTGCTTCTACTCCGTATATGGCGCTATGGAGTGTCACGTTCAGTTCTGCCTTTGTTTTTATAATGGGCTTCTTTGGACGTCTATCTAATTCTATATTTGCACAATCAAGATAAATCTTATACGGAGAAGCCGATATACCATTCGGAATAATGTACAGCGTTTCAAGGGGGCGATATCGTTACAAAATGCAAGGCACACAGGCTGACCTAAAGTCATGTGCGACCGTGAACGCAACATAATAATAAGAAAGGTGAAGGTCAACCAAAATTATTTTCAACCCAAATTGCAGCTGAGGTTTAGCGAGAGTTTGACAAGAAAATTCATTCCATAACGGTCAGGTGGACACTGCAAGAGGCTAGTTACAACTGTCGGGTCGCTAGACGAAAACCGTTAATTTCGAAAGCCAGCCAACAGAAGCGTCTAGCCTATACAAAGGCGTACCAAGCCACTACTAAGCAAGCCAATCGACTTTTGGAACAATATACTCTTCTCGGAAGGAAGAAAATTTAAGATCTTTCGATCTAATGGCCGCCAAATGATTTGGAGAAAACCAAACACCGCCCTGCAAAAAGAAAATCTTGCTATGTCTGTAAATTATGGTGGTAAAGGTGTGTTTATACGGGGCTGTATATCCGCTGCAGGGGTCGGTGAATTGGTATTCATTAACGGCATTATGGACAAAAATTATTATTTAGACATTCTCAAGAGAAACTTCAAGAAAAGTGTCGAAAACTTGAGTTTACCTGCCACATTTAGTTTCCAACATGATAATGACCCAAAACATACGGCTTATGATGTGCGTATGTGGCTCGCTCATCATGTATCACACATTGTCGCATCCACCTAAATCTCCAGATCTCAACTCCATTGCACATTTGTGGGAAGAATTGGATAGACGTTTAAAGAAGCCCATTATAACAACAAAGGCAGAACTGAAGTTGGCACTGCTGAAGAGTGACAAAAAATTTGGCCAAAAACCGCACAAAAATTGATTTCTCGGATTCGAAAGCAAATAGTAACTGTTATTAAATAGAAAACCTTGGCCACTAAATATTAATTGATATTGAAAATATTTTTTTTTTAATTTATTTTCTAATTTTTGCATTAGCTGTGCCAATAATTTTGTTCAGCCAAATTTACTTTTTTTTTGGTTTTTTATTTTAAAAAATTAAATTTTAGAGAAAATAAAATTTAAAAGCAAATTAAGCATTTTAACCTGTATATAGGTTAAAGTATAGTTAGGGAAAAACATTTCCGGTTTGGACCTCCCAGCGTCGTTGCTATCTTGACTCAGATGAATTTTTATTCGTTTCTTCGGCTAATACTGTAAATAATATTTACATTTAAAATTGTAATATTTGATTGCAGTTATATAATATATTTTCAATTTATGAATTCACTTTAATTCATCATTATTTTTCTTAAATATTTAACAATTAATTAATTATAAATCAACTACTACTAATTGCAGAATTGAAAAGTGTGACGTTACAATAGAAAAAACAGATTCTAGTCCTGCTTGCTGATAATATATATTTTGTAGTCAGTTAATTTAGCCCTCTATGCAGAAGAAAGATATGTACTTACAATAATGGCGTTCTTATTATATCCAGTTTACTACCTTAATTTAGGACACCTGGTTGATTTTCGTGTCTTCGAAACGGTGAAAGTTCCATGCAAAAATTACCATGGTATTTGTGCAATTTCTGAAAGTGTGTTTGTTGTTTTTGTTGTTATCAATCAAGTTTCCATGTGTGACCAGTAAGTAACACTTGACTGTCGAGTGGGCTAGACTTTGAGATGTAAAGAAGATCATTTCAAGAACGTACTTACTTTTATCTAAAGCAGGACTGTCCAAAGCACGACATATGGGAATCATGCAGCCCGCGGCTAATATTTATGCGGCCCGCGAAATATTTCTAATCTACCACAACTTACCTATTTTTCTTTGTTATAAATTTGTAACTTCATTATTTTATTTTAATGGCATTCCAAATAAAAGAATTAAAATGGTTTGTATAATTGACGTTCATTTACTTAATTGACAAAGACGGTAATATATATTTCTTTGTACAATTTGTTCAAAAAACTCGTATCCAGTGCCGTAAGTCATTACATTTTTCGTATGGCCACAACTAATATTTATTATGTTGATACTGATAGAATTGTAATAGATAAATTAATGAAGAACCAATAAAACTAAATTTAACATTTTTAACATTTTTTCATTTTTCTCCAGCAAAATTTTAACGCATTTATTTCTGCGGCCCTCGTACCTATTCAGTGACCTATTCAGGCATACTAGAATGGAATGTGTAAAACGAAAGATGCTAGATATTAAACTCCAGAAACTGTATAGTTCGCTCACATAACACAAAAAAAAATTCACACAAAATTTGTTGGATTAAATTTTTTTTTTATTTTTAAATTAATTTTTTTTACAAAACAAAATAAATTTTATATCTTACAATTTTTTAATATTTAATTTTACAATTGATTAATTAAAATTATATTGGAAAAATTTGTGAAAATAATATTACATAATTTAAATTTATATAAATTTTGTAGTACATTTTTATTTTATTTTACAAATTAGTTCAAATTTAGTAATAATAATAAATACAAAATTATTTTAAAATTTTTATTCAAGCTAAAAATATGTAAATTATTCAGATTCCATTAAAAAAATATAATTATAAAAAATTTTATATATATATTAAATGAAACACAAAATAAGCAAAACACTGTGTTTAATAATAAAAATCATTACATGAAATATTTTCAAAATTCTATTATTTTTACAATCATTCTATTTTAAATGTTTTATAAAATAGAATAATGTTTTATTAAC